CGTGAATACATCGGACATAGGGACAAAAGTCCTAACTGCCAATCGCATCCGCTACTTGTTGTACATGGTAGCTATGTGCAATCCTGATGGTTGGATTACTCCTGCGAAGTTTCCGAAGCCTCCTGCACCGGTTGGAACTGCGGCCACGATTTTGAGAATTTTGACAACGGCCCTAGCCTTGAGTCAGTCTGCGGCCCACCGGATGGAACTGGTCGTCGACGATGTGATCCCCATGTTCTCCACCCCGGCCACCCCGATGACCATGGTGATGATTGGGGTGATCCTGATGGTCGTGACAATGGGTGTTGTGTGCTGCATGGCCCCAAGAAGGAGATGGGGACGAGTTCGTGAAAACGAGCCTGATGATGGACCAGACCTCCCGGTGGCAAGCAATCAGAACCAGGCCCAAGACAACTTGAACAGACGGTTCACGTACCAGATCAATAAGGAAGATGGATACCAAGCCGCGGCCGCTGCACCTACTCCTACACCCAGTTTGACTTCCCCGACCGGACCACCAACGACGTTCGGACCAAGTGCTACATCGAGCTCTACGGCTCGACCCTCGGCAAGCTCTACCACGGGAGCTACGTCGAGTTCAGATGTCAATGCTGGGAGAGATTATGAAAGTTGGCTGTTGTGTCCAGAGCCAGCTCCATGTTCGGATGACGATGAGGGCGGTGCTACTGAGGCTTACGTTCAGAGCTATGTGCCAGATTCACCGCTACACCAAGCAGTTCCAGAAAACCTCCAAAGTGCAGATGACGGTGAACGTGAAGGACGACGTGGTGTCATGTTCGAGCGGGATCGCCAACCCGCTCCGGAGCCCAATCCAGAGCTCAGCGCCATGACTGTGTCTCGCATTGGTACTGGCCGGTGCATTCACAGAGAATCCTGCGGTATGGTTCGTCGCGCACAAAAGTTTGAGCCGCACAAGGTTGTCACCATGCGCCGCAGCAGTGGTCTCGCTGCGAACTTGAAGCTGTGTGGCCAACGCAGGCCATGATGGCATCGACGAGGACTTCAATGGCAGAGGCGCACTGAGCTCGTTCTGCAAGCACACTTGAGTTTGGAGCTGCAGGTGCACAGAGATTTTCGTTTTACGAGGATCAGTCGCTTTTGGACATGTGTAAAGTGTCGCGCGTTTACTATCCTCAAGAGTGTATGTTACTTCGTGAGTATGTGTACAGTTCAATTTTCCTTTGAGAACAGGGTGCACACTCCTAGATCAAGAAAGGTCCCAAGATGACGAGTGTGACCATAAGCTGTTGCTTGGAACACTGTAAGATGGCGAGGACTAGAACAAAATTTCATGTGTCCCTCAAGAAGGACCCTGGCATCCGTAGGAAGCAGGAGAATGTATAGTGGTACAGGCAGACTGTTGTGTTTAAGGTCGTGCGAACAAGCAAGATCCAAAGGATA